AGTGGGAAATAACTCATGAGAAAAATTGGTACCATCTAAGAGGACTGGGCAGTGACAGACCAAAAATCCCAAACAACAAAACACACACACACACACACACACACACACACACACACACAAACACGATCAACAACAAAAAACAAGTTGAAAACAGAAGCTTCTGCATATTTGGATTGTCTTAAACAGGTGTGATGTTTGGTTCTGTCATCATTCAAGAACATCAAAGAAATATACAAGAAAATTTTTAAAATTTTGATGAGAAAAGTAGAAAAAAAACCCGTCATCTACACATGTATACATGTGTTTCACTGCAGTACAGGAACAGCACTGAACCAAGAGAGAATGTAATGAAGTTGGTGTTATGCACATCACCACCTGTAAACCTGAAGCGTTTATAGATATTCCTTGAGATGCAAAGTGGAAATATTTGAGCAACAAAAAAACTGAAATGAAATATATTGAATATGCATTTAATATACCAAATCTAATAAAAGTGATCCCCTTCCTATGATAACATGCTTATTATGCTTATATTAACCCATAGTCAGGAAAAATAACATAGCACCCATTTCATAATAAGATATTACATATAATTTATTAGAGTACACTGAAGGTACTTGTGGCTTATCCTTGGTATCTGGTGGCTGACAGTGCAGGGATCACTGCTGCAGCCCAACAGCAAAAGTGAGTATTGCTGCTGTAAACAGGAATATGCATGGATCATTGAAATATGTCTTCAACTCTGGGGAAGACATCCACAAAACGAAGCACTACACTGAATGTATTACTTCTAGTTTTTTTTGTTTTGTTTTTGGTACTGGGGATTGAACTCGGGTCTTTGCGCTTGCAAGGCAGGCCACCAAACCGCTGAGCTAAATCCCCGGCCAACTTCTAGTTTTCTGAATACTCATCTATGGCTTTACCACCCTGAACACACCTGATCTCATCTGAATACTTTGTATACTGACTTCCACAATGGTTGAACTACTTACAATTTCACAAATGATGCTGAATGGTTCCTTTTCTCCTGCAGCCTCAGGAATTTTTGTTGATGTTTGTTTTTCTGTACTGGGGTTTTTAACTCAGGACCTTGCACTTGTGAGGCAGACAGCAGGCTCCAGAGCTAAATGCTCAAAATGTTTTAAGGCATTTATTGGGAATTTGTATTTATTTCTGAGATATGTATATTCATTTAATTTGCCTGTTTTTTTCAGATATTAGTTCTCTGAGGAGAATCAGGTAAAACTTTTTCCATTCTGTTGGTTATTTTTTTATGCTTTTGTTTTTGCTTTCATGCCTGTGCATTTGTAGATTTTTATATAATGCTTTTTTTTTTTTTTAACTGTATCAACCTACCTTTTTTACCAAAAATACCAACGAAAATATTGAGGAAAAAAAACTTTTTAAATGTCTCTCCATGTTCTCTACGTTCAAAACATAGGATGCTTGGCCCTTGCATCTTCTATTGTTATGCTTTATTTTGACACAGGCATATATATTACTGCTGTACAAATATTTCAATGAAAAAAGTATTTCCAGAGCTACAAAATCATAATTTGCATTATTTGTTTTTGCAACCTATCTTAGGTTTATGTTCTTGACCTAAAGTTCTTTCCTTAAACATCAAATGTAGGTATAAAGATAACTGTTCATAGTTTACTAAAGCATCTAGCTAAGTGGCCCCTCAGAGTTAGCTTCAAAGCCATGACGATCCTGGCTCAGCCTGTCCTGAAGCTAGGACTAAAGAAATCACATTTGACTTAAACCTTTACACACAGACCACCCACCAGTCCAATTATTTATACTCAAGATGACCAAAACTTTCCTATTTTTCACTGGCTTTTAGAAGGTAACATGAAATACAAAAATGACAGTTTTATCAAATTTATTCAGTACAAGAATTGACCAGTTAGTGATACCTGCCTGAACAAAGCTCAGGATTGGCAGTGCATAAACAAATGCTCTGCCAGAATGATGCTTGGGGTAAACTGTTAAGTGGTGAAATGAGACAAGGACACACACTGATGTGTAATTGTTATGATTAAAATAATTATGGTACTGAATAGTAAACCTACGAGTACTAAAGTACTGATACACCTCTGCAGCTTTCACACACACACACGTGTGTGTGTGTATATATAGATATATAGATACATAGATCTATCTATATATGTCTTTGGTTTTTTTCCCAGTACCAGGGATCAAACTTAGGACCTTGAGTTTGTGAGGCAGGCATGGTACCACTAAGTTAGATCCCTGGCTGCAATTTTCATATATATTTTGAGACAGGGTCTCACTAGTTTGAATAGGCTGGACTCAACTTTCTTTTTTCCCACTTGTGCTTCCTCAGTTGCTGGGATTACAAATGTGCATCAGCAGGTCCAGCAAGATTTTGTTCCATGGTAAAATAGAGAAAATAAATACGTTCAGGAGAAAATTAAGATCAGGTTAGTGTCTGTGTGAGTCAGCAGTGCCACACCCGTCTCACATGAGAAAACTCCGAGGCCTATTGGGGCTGGAATAATCTGCCCTCTCAGGTGTGTAGACTTCTGACCTTAGACAGATAAATTGTTCCTCTCAAAAACCTCTAAAGTCCTGACTCCATTAGCCTCAGCCCCTAAAGCATACAATCTCAAACCTAACATGTGGCCGATAACCATGTGCCAAATAAACTGACTCCACCCTGGTTCCACCCCTGCCTTACCCTATCCAATAGCGATCCAAGAGCGCCATCCTGGCCCCACTCCTACCTTATCCTATATAAGCCTGTACATTGGCTGAATAAAGCGGAAGTGTTCCAGAAAAATTCCCAGAGTCTGCGTGGTGATTCCACGCCTTGCCCTCCCATTCCAGGCTCCCTGAACCCTGTTCCGTGACTGGGCTCACAGATAAAAGCAATAAAACATCTTGTAGCTTCAAAATTCTGTCACTAATTAACAATAGCAATACACAGTACATATCTTCCTATCTATGGAAAGCAGCAGAAGTATGCTGCTAGGAAGTTGGCCACTTTATGGTTGTAAACACTGACATTGTACCCTGCAGTGTATCATATTCCTTGAATTAAATCAGATATTTCAGGTACAAAAAGAGATGAAGTTTTAGACATTATATAACTCGTGAATAATTTCTGTGTCTAAGCATAACTAAGACTAGGCAAGCTATACTCACTGAATTTTGGGTATGTAATGCACTGCTCACTTATGTTTTCATGATACCATAGGTTTGTAATACTGTAACCCCACCAGAAATCGAGCAGCTTTTTTTTTTTTTTTTGGCAGTACTGGGGGTTGTATGATCTCGGGACTTTGTGCTTGCAAGGCAGGCACCATGCCACTAAGCTAAATCCCTGGCCCACGAGCAGATTTTGTATTCAATAGCACAATATAAAACACTTTACAAACTATATCAATGATAAAAAAAGATAATAAAAAATACAGGTCAAAAGAGACCAACCAGGACTCATGCACACAACTTGGCCCAGTGTTTGTGTTTGAGGCAATTGTCACGTACCTCAAACATCAGACAGTGGTTCTTAGGAGCAATATAAATTTCTCAAAAATTGCCAAATACAACCTGAATTATAACTTAGTAAATTTACTTTTTAGCAAACTGACAGAATCTTTTGTTCTTTTTTCTAGTACAGGGGATCGAATCAGGACCTTGCATTTGTGAGACAGGCATGGTGCCACTGAGCTAAATTCCCGGTCCTTTACCAACTGACAGATACCTCATGAATCACATTTTCCTTCATGCCATTACATCATCTTATTAGGTTAAAACAATAATGATTACTAAAGATAGAACGGCATCACAGCATCAAGGAATACAATAAAGGCATTTGCCTTGTACATTCAATAGCAACAACTCTCCCTAAAATAGCTCCTCAGCTGACAAAAATTCCTTTGCAAGTCCTCTTACCTTTAAATCGTACCATCATTTATACTTTCTGGAGACATTATTATACTTCATGACATCCTTTTGGTGACAAGTTATAGTCCTGCTGGTCAGTGGCAATAAAAGACTCACAGCAATATGGTTTCTTTTTGGTCATGTGGTGGAAAAATTAACACCAAATTAAAAGTCATTGCAATATAAACATGAAAAGTAAAGTTCTGATGGCAAGAAAACAAAAATTTGTGTAAATATTGACTGCTATAAGAAAAACATACATGATAAATAATGTTGGGATAAAAGTAGGAGTTACAATACGAAAAAAATCACATTTGCTACTGTGCAATTGTTTCAGAACTCAATTTTCTCAAAAACACATGTTCACAGAGCTGGAAATTCAGATCAGCAGTGCCACCACCTGTTTCATAAGAGCAAGATCCTGAGTTTGATACCCCATACAAAAAAACCCCAAACAAAACAAAACACCCAACTGTTCACAAATCTCTGAAAAAATATTTTAATATAAAATATATCAAATTCAAAACATGTTTTATTACACAGAATATGGAGTATGCACTACAAAGTTACAACAAATATAACAGCAAAATCCCAACAATTAACAAAGCACCATTTAAAAATTTAAGTTTTTTAGTGGTCCATACCTCCCAATTTAAAGACAAAACAGTTAACTACATAGAAATTGTATTGGAAAGTAAAAACTACTTTTTAGTTTACCATGTATAATTAAAGAGATCATAGATTAAGCACAAAGATATATAAAAAATGTGAAACTATGTCAACAAAATATTTTTAAACCCTAAAATACATAATCTACATATTTGTAAGTGATTTACTAAAAAACACACAGTGTATGTACTTCAAATATCTCTGTCTGGGATTTGTATTTTGAGTCATATGTAAATTACTTTATTGTTTTCTGAAGCAGGGTCTCGCTTTGCAGTTCAGGATGGCCCTGAACTATGTAGCCAGGTTGGATTAGAATTTGCAGCTATCGAGCCAGGGATTTGGCTCAGTGGTTTGACTGCTTATCTTGCAAGCACAAGGGCCTAAGTTGGATCCCTGGTAATAAAAAGGCAAAAAAAAAAAAAAAAAAGAATTTGCCGTCATATTCCAGTGCAAATAGAATAAATTTGTTTGTATTATTTCTATAGATCTCTACTATAGGAGAATTTTGGACAGGATTTTAAAAATGGGCTCACATATACAGAGCATCTATCCAGGGAGACTTCTCTCATGAAATTAACAATCTGTGTAAACTGACACATATCCTACATTACTTATATATTCATGGTTTCTCCCCAGGGAGTTTTTCATATATTTGACAATCATGTGTTCTGAAAATTTTCACATAACTTACATATGCATAGTCAAAACCCAGGAAGAGTGCTTTCATGTTTTTGACAATCACCATGTGTGAGGAGAGCTTACCGACATTACTTATATACAGAGGGTTTCACCTTAATGTGAGCTGTTTTTGGCAACTGCTTCTGCTGAAAGCTTTCCCCCATTGTATGAGTTGTTTCATGTCTGTGACAAGCACTACCTGTGCTGAACACTTTCCCACACTGCTTACATTCATAGGGCTTCTCCCCATTGTGAATCCTTTCATGTGTTCTAATATGACTGCTTGTGCTGAAAGCTTTCCCACATTGCTTACATACATAAGGTTTCTCCCCAGTGTGAACTCTTTCATGTGTTCGATAAGCACTTTTTGTGCTAAAAGCTTTACCACATTGCTTACATACATAGGGTTTGTCCCCACTGTGAACTCTTTCATGTATCTGAGAATACATGTGTGTGGTGAAAGCTTTCCCACATTGCTTACATACATAGGGTTTCTCCCCAGTGTGAGTTCTTTCATGTCTTTGACAAGCACTACGTGTGCTGAAAGCTTTCCTGCACTGCATACATTCATAAGGTTTCTCCCCAGTGTGAACTCTTTCGTGTGTTCGACAATGACTGCTTGTGCTAAAAGCTTTCCCACATTGCTTACATACATAGGGTTTCTCCCCAGTGTGAAATCTTTCATGTGTTTTGCAAGAACCATATGAGCTGAAAGCTTTCCCACAATGCTTACATACATAGGGTTTCTCCCCGGTGTGAATTCTTTCATGTGCTTGACAAGCACTTTTTGTGCTAAAAGTGTTCCCACATTGCTTACATACAAAAGGTTTCTTCTCACTATGCAACCTTTCATGTCTTTCACAACATCTCTGTGTGGTAAAAGCTTTCCCACATTGCTTACATACATAGGGTTTCTCCCCACTGTGAGTTTTTTCATGTCTGTGACAAGCACTACGTGTGCTGAAAGCTTTCCTGCACTGCACACATTCATAGGGTTTCTCCCCAGTGTGAACTCTTCCATGTGTTCGACAATGACTGCTTGTGCTGAAAGCTTTCCCACATTGCTTACATACATAGGGTTTCTCCCCAGTGTGAAATCTTTCATGTGTTTTGCAAGTACCATATGAGCTGAAAGCTTTCCCACATTGCTTACATACATAAGGTTTCTCCCCACTGTGCAATATTTCATGTGTTCTACAAGCACTTTTTGTGTTGAAACCTTTCCCACATTGCTTACATACAAAGGGTTTGTCTCCATTGTGAACTCTTTCATGTCTCTGACAATATGTATGTGTGGTGAAAGCTTTCCCACATTGCTTACACACATATGGTTTCTCCCCACTGTGAAATTTCTCATGTCTTTGGCAAGCACTTTTTGTGCTGAAAGCTTTACCACATTGCTTACAGACATAGGGTTTTTCCCCAGTGTGAACTCTTTCATGTATTTGAACATATCCATATGTGCTGAAAGCTTTCCCACATTGCTTACAGACGTAGGGTTTCCCTTCACTGTGATATCTTTCATGGATCTGAACATATTTGTATGTTCTGAAAGCTTTCCCACATTGTTTACATACATAGGGCTTTCTCCCACTCTTATTTCTTTCTTGGATCTGATCATCAGTGTCTGTGCTGGCAGCTTTTAAATTTTTCTTACATACAAAGGCCTTCTCTCTAAGATGAGTTCTTTCACTAAGATCAGAGTAGGATTTCCCACCTTGACGATGTTCACAGGGTTTCTCTCCAGCCTTTGTCCTTGCATGATTCTGAAAGGACTGGATATCACCGCAATTTCTTTCATGTTGATCACTTTTATACAAATTCTCTTTGTGTCTCAAGTATTTATATGGCTTCAGTGTAGTGAGAGCTGTGGTGGGCACATTTTGGGACAAATGACCAATCAGAGCCTCACTACAAGCAAGGCTTTCAGCTGGTGTTGAAGCAGCTTGTTTCCCATGCACATTGGCAACTGGAGTACAAAGGAACGTTTCTTTGTATTGATTCCAAGCTTTATACTGATAGCATTTCTCCACTTCTTCATTTCTGTAAAGAAAAAGTCACGATAATGGGTCTCTATGTTAATGATTTACCAGAAGAAGTTCTGTTTGATGCCTGCTAACAAATTTAGACAATGAATTAACGGGTTGTCTTGCAGAGAATCTTCAAAACACCCATTACCACAACAGTGGTATTCATGTAGGAATTTTTAACTTTATATACTTTCCAATACAGAAAGTTGAGCTTTATTTTGGGCAACTTGCCCATAGGTGTATCACACACGGAACACTGTGATACCTTTTCCCCCACCCCTCTACCCCTTCTCTCCTTACCGTTTGTCTTTCCCATCTCCAAAACACCAGCTTTTCCTTTTTCTATCACCTCTTCTTTATTTTACTAATGTATATGTTTGGTTTGTCACAAAAGAGATACCATATGATATTTCTCATTTAGTGCCTGAGTTATTTAACTTAACGTACTTTGATGAATATTCATTTATTTCTTTTAGCAAATGCCATGACATTATTCATCTTTTTGGTGAATTTATATAGCATATTTTCTCTTTCTTTTCACAGCTCGGAATTAAACAGAGGTCTTAGGAAAAACCCTCTATCTTTTCGATTTCTTATTCTCAGAGAAGTCCTTGAGGATTAAGTGGCTCAGGCTGAGCTTCAACTTTCCAGCCTACAGGATCTACTTCCCAGAATGCGGGGCTGACAAGAATTCACCATCACTGAGCTTATCATCAATCTTCATGCATGTATCCAGTGATGGATACCAAATTGATTCCAGGGCTTAGTTGGTATAAATTGGCCTGCTCTTAGTATGGGTATGAATGTATCAGTATGATATGATGATTTTAACTCTTTTAAGAATATACGCAAGACACTTATGCATAGATCAAATAAAAGCTCTATTTTCAGTTTCTGAGTCATCTCTATACAGCTTATTATGGTAACTGTACTTAACATTGTACCAGCAATTTTGGAGGGTGCATTCTAAGAATTTTGAATCACGAATGTACTCAATTCTCCGAAGAACGTGTGCAAAACACCTATTGCAACACTAGCATTCTTATTTGTACTCTCAGTACTCCTTCAAGGTTAGCAATTTTCAGATACCAGATGTCTGAAATTCACACGTATACATCAATAGTTATCTTGAAGATGGGTTCCTGTGAAAATTCAAAGTTTATTTTTTACATACACACCTATATATAATCCTTAAATGCAATTTCATACATTTTTACATTTAAATTGTGAGATCATACATAATCGAGCTGCATAGATCTTTACAGAATATCTGTGACATTAAATTGAACTTGGCCTCATTTACTAGACAGTCATGTTTCTGCTCACACACTGAGTATCGAGGAACATTCTTTCTTGTGAAGGGAAATTACCTTAGATTTCTCCAGTAATTTCTGTAGTCTTCTTCAGCCTCCTGATTATCCCATGTTCTTTCTGAGTTGTAGACATAGAAATATGAGGACTCAGTATGTTATTACATGCATATTAAGATTCCAATTTGATTCATGATATAGTGTAACCAGGCCTGTGATATTCTTCAAAATATTTTCTCTTTCTAATGAGACAGCACTGATGAGCAATAAGCAATACTCTCTGACTGTATAGATGAGATATCCTTACCTATAGTAGCCATGTTCCTAAAGGTTTCCCCCATCACATCTCTGTAGAGCTTCTTTTGGGATGGATTCAGCAAAGCCCACTCCTCCATGGTGAAGTTCACAGACACATCTTCAAAGGTCACTGCTTCCTAAACATCATAGAGATATTTCTCAAAGGAAGACTGACACTCATAGATGGGATATTTCAACTCCTCTCATAAAATGTTGAATACAGAGCTGGGCGTGGTGGTACATATGTGTACTTCCCCCTCCCCACTCATCAGAGGGCTGAGGTAGAAGAACTGCCATGAGTTTAAAACCAGTGTGGGCTTCCTAGTGAGTTAAAGTCCAGCCATAGTGAGACTCCGGCTCAATAAAACAAAACAAAATAAGCTGAATGGAGGCTGAATCCTTCAAATATTAAATTGTTTCATCATCAATCTGAAGTGTATGCACTTTTTTTTTCAAACAGCAATGCTAACGGAATAGAAGAATAGGAAAGGGGTTCTTTTTTTAGGTCACTGTAAGCGTATCAGTGTACTCAGTAAAGCATACCTCACACAGGAAACCTACAAGTTCACCATCCACAAAACACCTGGGCAGATGAGTATCAAAATTATTTTTCTTTTTGCAGTCTGGGGATTAAACTCAGGACGTTCCACTTGTGAGGTAGGCCCAGCACCATTGAGCTAAATACCCAGCCCCCAAATTTTTTCTTTTGGTACCAGGAATCAAACTCAGGATCTTGTGCTTACCAGGAAGGCACAGCTCTACTAAGCTAAATCCCATTGAATGTCTTTGATAGTTCATTGGAAAAATCACTGCTCAAAACTTTTTATGGAATTGAGTCTTTCTTTCTTTGACTGTACTTAAGCAGGATTTTGAAACTTGAATTTGGTTTCATAAAACAACTGAACATCAAATACGGTTATGAGTAATTAAAATGTTAATGGAAAAAGTTTTAATATAACAAGTTTATGAAAATGAAAACAAATAAAGGCTGGCAAAATATCTTATACTTCAGTGTCACCAAGTGGACTCCTTGTTCTCAGATATAAGGAGTGGGAGATTATGAGGGGAGGAAGATGAATAAAATGTAGTTTGCACTGAAATTCAATGTATCACAAAGTACATGTACAAGAGAAAAATTTCAGCCCAATGTGGTGGTACATGTCTATAATCCAAGAGCATGGGAGGCTGGTTCAGGAAGATTGCTTTCAGTTCAAGGCCAATCTCAGCTACATAGTAAGATCAACAACAATGAAATACAAAGAGACCCTGACTCAATCACCCCACAAGAAGGAACATTTCTAAAAAAAAAAAAAAGGCACTTGCAAGTGACACTTTTGATTTGTTAAAAATACTACCAGTACACTATAATACAATTCTAACAAGAAGACTGATAGCTTCCATAATATATATGAATGACATTGAAACTCCACCTTTCATGAGACTGCACCATTAGTAGAAAAAAGGACAAATGGATGAAACAAACAGAAGACAGACTTCAATGGGTCCACATATACCCAAATTATTGATTCTTTTTCTGGGGAGAGGGCAGGGATCAAACTTGGGACCGTGCAGGTGGCAGAACCACTGAGCAAAATCCCCAGCCCCGAAATATTGATTCTTGATACAGCTGGTGTTATATCTCTGGAAGAAATCACAACCTCTTTCATTTATGTTCAGGAAGAAATAAGTGCGTACTTGGAAAGCTGGACTGTATAATCTTTTACTCTATGTGCAAAAATTAAGTTACATAACGAAATGGGAAAGATAACCTTAAGTGACTTGAGAATTCATAGTGAAATAACTTTTTAAATGTGAAAAAATGTTTTCCTCAGAAGACAATCAAGTAACCATCAGAATTAGGACAAACTCAAATATATGAAAAACATACAGTATAAACAAGTATTTGCAGAGTACACAGTGTAAAGATTGTATAAAAGGATAAAAGACCAATGAACCCAAATGTAAAATAAATAAAAACATGCCTAATTCAAGAGAAAACGATGAATAAATATGGAAGACCACACTTTTTTAAGAAAATCACTAAAGAAAATAAATGGGACTGTGGAAGAACACAATAAGGATGTAGATTTATGCAAGAATGGAAAACCAATTGATACAGGCTACACTCATTTCCTTTACTTTAGATGACCAAAACATACAGATCAATGACTTCTTTCCAATGTCCAAAGAATACACAATACTACTATTCCTGGAGATAGATGTGATTCATGGGACCAATGGAATGGGTGTTGATTCATATATCAGCATTTGTGAACAATAGTGAGAGGGGAAAAAATAACTCTCTAAAAATAGTTCTCTTGCAATTTCTATTATTAGTCATGTATTGAAAATTCCAAGGGAGGAAACTAAAAGAACATTGTTTATAGAAACTCACATGGTAAACTCAGGAAACATCTTGAAAGTGGGACAGTGGTCATCCATGGAGCAAGAGAAATTGAGTCAGATTAGGTATCAGGTATCAAACACCTGGATGTTCCTATCCATTGCCTAAGGCCCAGTGAAGAAGGGCAGGCAGGCAGGGCACCACTGAGCTAAATCCCCAGCTCCTCACCAACAATTTTCACTTGTCAAGTAAGCTGTTTTTTGTTTGTTTATTTGTTTGTTTGTTTTGTACCAGGGATTGAACTCAGGCCCTTGTGCTTGTGAGGCAGGCACCAGAACCACTGAGCTAAATCCCCAGCCTCTCACCAACAATTTTGAAAGTAAAATTTATAGCAAAATGTTCAAACCCTAACTTATCATTAAGAAAGCACACATTAAGTTATATCTGCATTCATGTATGAAAAGATGAGACATCATTCCCACAGTGGTGAGCACTAAGCAAAGCAGCACAGTGGCAAACAGGAGACCCCCAGATCCCCAGCAAGCAGTGGTCAAACTATACTGCCCATTGGAGGACAGGATAGATGGTCAGAGAAAGACAGAACAGATATCAGAGCTCACCAAGGACTACACATGTGTTATGGACCCAATGCTGTGCCCACCATGAATGGAGTGGTTTTTATGTTGACATATGGGAGGGCAATCTTCATACTACCTAGAAAGGGGAAGGGCAAGGGCTAAAGAGAAAACAGACAAGAGACCTGTGAAATTTCAAAGTATATTGGGGTCAGGGAGGTCAATGCCTCAGCGTGGGCAAAGACAAAGACTCCAATTTAGCCACTTCTGATTTGATACACCCATAATTGGGAGGGAGCATCAGGTGACTTGGGGGACCCAAGGAGATCTTCTGTCTGATTTTCTGCAGATGCAGATGTCATTTTGTGTCGCGAGCCGCGACATCAGGATCCTGCCAGCAGGTCCTAAACCTGAAAGGACAAGTACAGAGAGACGGGAGGCACTTTTCTTCTCATGGTACTTGCTGCTGCTTTCTTACCGAACCTCTCCTTTTATACTCTCCAGCTGCACGGCTGCAAGAGGAGAGAGAGTGCCGCCCACACATTTCAGAAGGAAACCATAAGTACAATAACAACTATTATGGGTTACATCTGCTAGGCAATAGATCAGACCACCAGTTGAACTAGCCCGTTGCTATGGGTGACGGCACGTCCACACTGCTCGGGTGAATCACAGGTCAATATGGCTGTGCTCATGTCACGTTCTTTATACAATGCTCTCCATAATTTTGGTGAGAGCAAAAAGGAGAGTATTCTCACCTCAGTAGGAGGGATATACTGAGCCAATAAAGATTTCCTCCCTCCCCAGGTGAAACCTTTCTCTTTTGTATTCCACTTGGTTCTCAAGAAATCAGGATGTCTTCAGCTGGTGTCATCCTGCCATTGAGAGCCACAGCTTCACAGATCATTGAGGGCTCAGCTGTGACCTGAGGCAAAATGAAGTTGTGTTTCTACATGCCATATCCAGCTCTTGGCCAAGGCAAAGCTGCAGTCATACTTTAATACACGGAAATGCTCCTGACAATAACATTGATGAGAATAGATTTTATAGAAACCTATGCAAAATGTTACACAATTCTATCAGTGATTCAACAGAATCTGCAGAATGTATATTAATCTGACATTATTTAATTTATACCTCAAAATTAACAAGGCTATTAGGTGAGGCAGTTCTCTAAAAGGAACATTGATACATATACTACTGGACAGATAGATCATCAATTACATGACACAAGGCATGAGCATGAAGAGAAATATCACTAATTCACAACTACGTCTGAAGATTTCAAGACAACTCCATCAGTAATTGATAGTTGAAGACAGAAGAAAAATCTGTAATGCGACAGTTAAAATTAACAAATTGCGCTTCACGGGGATTGTCTGGATATTGCATAGTACTTCATCTAATAACTACATAGTACAATGTCTTCTAAAAATCACAAGAAACATTCACCCAAATAGACCATGTTCACAGCAATACTAGGGAATTTGACTTCTACAGGGAAAATAATTGAAATATTATATGGTCATGTACCAACTCCCTACAACGAATGTAATCATTACGTGCAATAAACATTGAGCAATAAAAGTAAAAATGAGAAAAATGTGTTCAAAGAAATGGAAACTTTACACGTAGGTTTCACACCAATTCAAAGGGCAGAAACATATTTAAAATCATAAGAATTAGATTATGGGCCAGGGAAATAGCACAGCCACATAGCAATGGCCTAACAAGCACAAGGATCTGAGTTCAACTCCCAGTACCAAAATACATAAATAAATAAATAAAAATAAAATAATAATAGACACTAAAACATAGTTTTATTTATTTTTATTTATTTTTTGGTACTGGGGATTTAACTCGGGTCCTGGGCTTACAAGGCAGTCAGAAATCATAAAGTTTTAAAACAGACATACTTCAAATGCCAGGCTTCATTAAATATTAAGGGTGTAGAAGCATGAAAGTGAATGGACAATGTATTAATTATCATTTCAGGGGGCTTCAAAACATTAAAAACAATGCATGTACATATTCGAAAAGAACAAAGATCACAAGGTTAGAAATTTAAAAATAGCCATGTGAAAATTAAAGTCAACCAACAAATAGGAAATTTCACTGCCCATTATTTATGTGGACAACAGAGAATAAATTATTAAAAGTATCAAAGGCATTACTGAATCATTACTGTAATCTATTACAATAAAAATCTAGACAACAA